CTCTGGTAGTTTGTTCTGCAGGATGGCAGAACACTCCTCGTTGAGCATCATCGTTGACAGCTCCCCAAGCTTCCTCTTGTTGGTGAGGAGATCTTTCATGAACTTGGCATATTTAGGCATCTTCGATAATGCCTCCGCAAAGGGCATGCTTATATTCACCTGCTTCAGCATTGCCATGAACTTGGCAAACTTAGTCTCCAGTCGATCCTTGTGCAACCGAGTAGGAAAGGGAAGCTGGGGTACATACTCCTTCACCACAGGTTGCAGTTTAGGAGCAGACACTTCAACCTCCTTCTCCATTTCCTCTTCATTAGCTGAAAGTGCTGAAGCAGGGGTCTCTCTCTCTTCTGCCTGAACAGGTGGATCGGCAGTCACCTTGCCACTCCTGGTGGTAATGGCCTTGCAGTGCTCATTCGGGTTCTGCGGATAAGGGATGGTCTGACCGGGTAGAGTACCAAGAGGCCTCTGAGCTACAGTCTGGGCAACACTCCCAAGCTGGGTCTGGATATCCCGAAGCACAGCCTGCGTGTTTCTCTTACCAGCTTCTAGCTCCATAAATTTGTCTGAAGCTTTATCCATGAACTGCTCGATGTTATTGAACTTGTTTGCACTGGAGATGGCCAGAGAACCCACCAGATCTCGCAGTTCCGCCATTGGGTCACTCTGTGCTGGGGCTGCAGGTGCTGCCCTGTCTGCTGAAATGGCCGCACCTGTGACTGAGGTGGAACTGGCCCCTGTCTGGGCGGGTACACTGGCTGTTGTGGCTGCTGAAATTGCCCATGTCTAGGCTGGTACGGAGGCCTCTGGAATCCAGGTGGTCCCTGGGGGACTGGTGGTCTGGAATTTTCCCCACCCCAGGAGAAGTTGGGATGCTGCCCCCCCCCCCCCCCCCCCCCCCCCGTTGTAGGCAATGCAGTCAAAATCGCGCTTTAAAACTTAAAAACTTACGGTTTTACGCTTCTATAACACTAAAATGCTTTCGTTTCCATATAAAATCTAAAGTGTATAAAATCGGGACTGAAATGCGCTTTAAGGCTTAAAAGCTTACGCTTTTACGCTTCTGGTTCACCAAAACGCTTTACGCTTCTAGTTGACTAAAGGAGTATTCTATTCACGAAAATACTTATATTTTACAGGTAAATCACAAAAAATATGATATATTTAAGATTAAAAGATACATATCAAGTACTTGGGTGCATTTTTAGTTTCAATAGAGTAATCTAATTCACCAACTAGGCCCTTCCCAAAATCACTAGCTTAGAGGGGAAGGTAGCTTATGGTTAAGATATATGTTTATGAACTTATTGTTAAAATGTTATGAGTTTCTCAACTTTAGACATGAATTACAAGTATTTATTAACTTATCTAAACTATGTGCACTCATATTTTACATAGTATATGTCGTACTTAACACATTTTCCGTTATTTCACAATATGCGTCAAAAACTTACGTTTTTACGCTTTGATTCTACGGTTTACGATTTTACCCATTTTTCGCTTCTAGGTAGAATCGCGCTTTTGACTGCATTGGTTGTAGGTGTTGCTGTAGGGGTCGAAGCGCCTGGCATTGCCGATGAAGTCCATCTGCTCCTGGGGAGTAGAAGACTCCCTCATCGCCTGGCAATCCTCCACGGTGTGATGAGAACTCTCACACCACTGGCAAAGCATCGCCTGCTGCTGTCCGGTACCTACAATCATCCCGGAACGATCGATAGCTGAAACCAGCTTTGATACCACCAGCACTAGATCAGATGACTGGGTGGATACAGCATGCACACCCCGTCCTGGTGCTCGTCTCGATCTCCTCGCAGTTCCCCAGTCATATCCCTGCTCTGCCATCTCCTCAAAAAGTTGATTCAGCTGGGGCGGTGTTTTGGTGAGCATGTTCCCGCCACAGACCGAATCAATCAGCTGCTTGTCCTCCGGGAAGAGGGCATGGTAGAAGGTTCCCACCTTGAAGGCGTCAGTAAAACCATGGTTAGGACACTTGAGAAAGAGACTGGTGTATATCTCCCAGGCATCTCGGATGGTCTCGTCTTCATCTTGAGCAAAATGGGTAATCTGCTTCTGCAGGTCCGCCGTCTTGGACGGAGGATGTTAGCGAGTGAGGAACTTGTCCGCCAGGTTGGCGAACGTGGTGATGGACCCTGGAGGTCGAGTGTCTAGCCACTCCTTGGCCTGCCCCTCCAGAGTAAACGGGAAGTACCTCAGCTGGATGGCATCGGCTGGGACCCCATTTATCTTGATTCCATCGATGAGCTCGTGGAATCGCCTGAGATGTGATAGGGGGCACTCCCCCTCTTTGCCACGGAACACCACCGAACCGCGCAACATGGTGATGACTGAGGTGCTCACCTCAAAGTTGTTGGCTGGGACATGAGGGTGTTGAATGAGTGACCTCATGTCCGCGGCTCGGGCGGTCCAGTAGTATCCCATGGTCTGCTCCTCGGGAAGGACCACATCATGGTCCTGTGGATCACCCATCTCTTCTTCTTCGGCGATTTGCAGCTGTGCTAGCTCATCCTCCGCAGCCAGTCGTGCCTTTAGAGCCCGCTTGAAGTTCCTGCAGGTTCGTCCAAGATCCTGGTCTAATGGTAGTAGATCTACCGACTGGCTACGGGTCATGCACTAGCTGCACACAATCAGCGGAAGCAACCCGTGAAGGCACACAGGTGGAAGAGAGAAAATGCAGTAAAGAAAAATCTAGAGTAACAAATTTTCACGTTTCCCCAATAACATAGAGGTTCCCCGGCAACGGCGCCAAAAACATGACACGCCAAAACACAACACCAAACTGCGAACAAGTGTAATCGCAGTCCGGGAATGCAGTAAAGTGGCAAGTTCTAAATATCAACCCGGGGTCTAGATCTACTACCTACTCCGTGATTATCTATTATCTAGCCAACTAAGTCGATTGATTGTTGTTTTCACTAAAAGCAGAAAGAAAGCAGGAATTGGTTCGGTTTTCTCAAGCAAAGAAGAGTCACTCGGGAATGAGTCCCCTTAGCTCCTTAGTTAGGTCTCAGTTGTAATTACCCTGGGTTGATTTACTGTTGACTAGATTGCGGAAGATCCGACAGTAGCTTGGAATCTCTTAAGCTGACCAAGCCCTCTCAGTCTAACTACGCGACAGACGACTAGTCTTCACCGGGATAGAAAGCTGAAGCAATAAGCACAGAACTCCACTACTGGAATTGGATTCCAGTACAAAGCAGTAGACTGGCTAACTCTCGTATAACCAATCCACTACTACCAAATGATGAAGCTCTAACAACCTAATCAGATTCTATCTATCTCAGGTTGCAACAGAAATCAAGAAAAGCTGATCAGACTTCAATCAATTCAATGAAACATGCATCATTCGATTAAAACCAAACAGTATAATCATCCCAAGTCATTACAATCAAATCCCTAACACATGGAACTAGGGTTCTTCATACCCAAGTGAGAGAAGGGTTCTACTCCATAGAGAGAGAGAGGGGAAAACAGAATACAAAGCAGTCATACTCATAACAATGGGAAGAATCTGCTCTGGGATGATGATTTCCACTCCTATGATGATCTCCAAGCTCGATTTGACGAAACCCAGCTCCAAGATAGCTTCTAGGATGAGTTCTTCGCACTTTCTCTCTCTAGGGCTCTGTTTTTGCTCTGAAAAGTCGATTCTCTCACTTGTGGCTCGAAATTGGGTAAAACCCAGAATTCCTGACTCACACTGGCAGGCCACGGCCGTGTGGCTTACCCAGATGCCCGTGTGAGGTCCAAAACGCGGCGTTCCGATTAATTGAAATTCAGGCTTCCTACACGACCAGGGACACACAGCCGTGTGTAGCCTCCAGTCTGCCCGTGTGAAGGCTCGCACCATACCACACGGCCACATTGGTTCCTTGCACGGCCGTGTGGGTTTTATGTGTGCCCGTGTGGCTTCCTCAGCGACTCGCCACACGTCTGATCTTCGTCCAATCGACCCCGAACTCGCTCCCAAACCTTCATTCACGTACTAGGACCTGAAATATCACAAACAAGCACAACCTAGCGTGAAATCGGCCTAAAACATGAGAATCAACCTCCCAAACGGCTCAAGAATAGGGGTAAAAACATGTGCAATTAACGGTTTATCATACATCGAAGGCAACAAACCTATAATTGATTCACAGAGTAGAGAGGTCCTCGAACCCAACTAACCAATCCAGAAATCCCTGCTGCAAACTGACACAAACCTATAACTGAATTCCCGGATAAGAGAAGACATTAATTCTAAAAAAAATTAGAGATCAAGAGGGACTGCAAAATGAGAGTGAATTGAAATTGAAAATCTGCACATAGAGGGATCAAAGACCAGTGCCTATGGGTATCAACCCATTTTACAAATTCAACAAAATACAACAATGATATGCTTACAAAGGACCTCCAAATCCAGTACATGAAACGCAGGGGCTATGTATCACACCACGGTGGCATTATTTGGCTAATGCGAATACAATATTGATCAAAGAAGAAGATAAATTAGTGTCCAATTGTAGGAGGGACGGAATAGAGCTTACATGCTACTCTTTTAATCGGTATCCAGTCAACTATCCCAGGGTTTGGCTTTGCTGACTTAATCTAAAGCCAATATGCAGCAAAACACTCCATAACGATGATGCACAGGGGTGATTGATGATGCACAGGGGTGATTCTACATAGATAGGGATCGTGAGGTTAAAAGTGAGATGATTTTCATAATAATAAATGAACAAAGATAGATAGAAGCATCAGTTTTGGGTTTGTTCAGGGAGATGACTGAAAGGGCGAGAGAACACAACGTCCACATAATTATATGATTCAATTCTAGGATAATTTGTATCATGTACATGAACCTACGGAAAAAAGACATAATTATTCAATTCCTTGAGATAAATTGAGTTTTAGGGTTGCAGTTGATTTCTAGACTCAATCTTCTTTTAAACACTTGCTAGAATTGTGAGATTGTCAACAGAAACCCTATACATAGGACAAACCCCCAATACCCTACCTTATTGGATTCTGCAAATTGTTATCTCCGTCAAAGTAGGAGAGATGAGTTGCGTATAGTGCAGCTTGCTATGAATTTTACTGTTGTGTGCAGTTTACAGAAGAAGAGAAAAAGCAACCAAGGCAATTCCAAAAACAAAACAAAATCGACCAGGAAAACTCACACACAAAGGGAAGAAGGAAAGAAAATGATGGAGGTTTCAGAAGATGTGGAAAAACCGCCCCTAAGCGTAGACGAAGATGGAAAAAATTCCCAGACACAGCAAAAGGCATAGTTACAGGAATGCCATCACTAGTAAATGAAATAGATAAGATAAGACCCAAACTTTCAATTGATTCTAATTGCAAGATGAAGGAAGGACGATAAGCAAAGATGAACCCACCAATTTCAAGGGCGCCCTCGAAGAGAACTGGGAATCGATGTGGGTGAAACCAGGGAATGGGCGAACGGCGGTCGATTGAGGAGACCTGGTGGTGACGGTAATTATCGGTGAGGAATCTCTGGACAGACGGCAACGGAATGGAACCCGGAGGCACGATGGTGGAAGTATAGAGATCGTGCCATAGCTGTGAAACGATTCGGAGAGCAAGCAGCTAGGGCGGCGACTGCGAACAAAATTGGCAGACTCTCTGGACATACGTCGACCGAATGGAACTCGGGCCCTCGATGGTGGTTATGGCGGAACAACGATGGTGGACGGCGGGACCTTTTCCTTTGGTGAATGTTTGTCAGAATGCAGGGAGAAGGAGTTCATCCGCTGGAAGAAATAACCACCCCGAGCAAGACGAGAAGAGAAGTACTCCCGCACAAAGCTGATACATAGAAGCTTTTTCCCAGTAATAAAATAAGGAGATCCAGCAGCGACATGTAGTTTCCACAATTGCCCTTAGCGAGAATGAAGGAGAAGCTAGGGATTTCAAAATGGAGAAAAACTGCCGAGAACGGCTATATATTATAGGAGGATGTAGATGTAGACTAAACTTGGACGGCAGCAGAAGAAATAAAACGAAAAGTAGGGATGGAAAAAATATAAGCAACCATAAATATTCGTCTAAATCTGACCTAATCGGGTAGTATAAAACTCGAATCCAAAGGATTTCATTGGGTACGGGTAATTCGAAATTGAATGTTGCGGGTAAGGGGTACCATGATTTTCTCACTATCCAACCCGAACTCGCCCCATTATACACATGATATGTATTTTGTGTAGAAATGATCATTATTTTTCTCAACTACTTTATATGTAGCATACAAATATAAAATTTTCAAGAAATTGTGTTGTTTGAATTAATATTCTTCATTCTAGTGAATAATTGTCGTACTTTTTCACTAATGTAATGTGAGTATATGCGTAAACGTTAACATGTTGGTAGGACTTATAAAGTGAACTTATTATCCGTGGATAATTGTGGATATCCAAAACCCGAATGGGTATGTACATGTATTTGATTTTCTACCTGATTCTTATGTGGATATGTGTATGGATAAAATTCGAACTACTTTGGATAGGAAATGGATATGCACTATCTACTTCCGACCCGACCCGACCCATTACCATTCCTAACTAAAAGCCCAACTGGTATGCCCATAGTATGATTATGGAATAACAATGCAAGGGATATACCCAAGTCATATAGCCTGAGCTACTATTAGGTATTATGTAAAAATGCAGCACATAAATCTCATATCTGGGTTAACAGTACGCAGCACACAAATCCCATATCACAATTTAGAAGGAAATAAAACTTGATTTATAAAATTCTACAATTTGTTAGTGGCATAAAAGCATTGCTATAAGAACCGAACCGGAACAACGGCCGATAGAGACCGTAATTTTTAATTTGAATTAAAAAAATGTGGTTTCTTTTGTGAGATGGTTGGAATGATTTATTAGATATTTTGGTGATGATATGAATTTGAACTTGTTTATGGACAATGATAATTTCATTCTTAAATTAGTGTAATATACAAGTCTTATATGTTATATATCATGAACGGTTCTATCAACGGTTCACTAACAGTTTTGTAACGGTTAACCACTAAACCCTATACCACTAACTTTTCCGGTTCAGCCTCCGGTCCGGTTCTATAAACAGAGCATAAAAGGTTCTTTTATTGACAGATCGATTAGTATCGACTGTCGTTACTTTAACTTATTGTAAACATATTTGTCTACTATTTCGTCTAACTATGATATAAAAAAGTATTCCACAATTTTAGTGGATTGCGGGAGAAAGCCCAAAATTCACCGGAAGAAGAAAAAACGAAAGCCCAAGTGACATGGCCATAACGCCGATAGTAGTTCATGCACCGAAATTGGGGAGAGGAGAAGACTAAAAAGCCCTTTCTTGCTTTGCGGGGAGGGCATGAAAATCCCAATTGAGTATGTCCCAAGGGAGAACCTCTTTAAATATGGCGGAGAATAATTGAGCAAAGATCAAATATACTTCATATTTGTTTCTGGTTACATGAACTTTCTGAATATCAAAGAAAACAAAATTATAGCGTAATCTGAATCGAACCAAATCGTATCATATATCCTATTTTCATTTTCTAAATACCCTCTTAAGCATGCACTGCAGAGAGAAGAGAGGGAAAACAACTTATAGCCTCATTTAGGGGTGTTCAAATGGTTACCGTGATAATGTTTCCCCAGAAAACCAAATACCACCGCCGGTGCCGAATTTGTTTTCGGCGAGGTTGATTTGATGTTTCGCGACAAAAACTTTTGCGGTGTCGTTTGATCGAACGCACCACCGAATGTTGAAATCAACGCGACCGTCAAATATCCACCGCCGGGCGTCGGGCGATGTTGATTTGATCGATGCACCTCTGAATGCTGAAATCAACGTGACTGTCAAATATCCACCGCCTGGCGATGTTGATCTGATCGATGCACCTTTGACTTCTAACCAAGACAACCGTTACTCGGTTCACCACCTCTCCAAACTACATTCGAACGAGGGTGTTTGAGTTTTTGAGGAATCTACGTTACGACTACTCCAATTGAGATTCCTGTGGAGAGCTCCGCGACTACGCTACGACTATGACTATGGAGATCCATCCTGGAAGGAGAGCTCCGCGAAGGAGTTACAGAGAAAAGGTAAAGTTTGACATATGTGTTTCTGTGTTGATTTTGTTGTCCCTCTCTCTTCTTGCTCCACTGCTCCTATTCGAAAAACATCTTCGTAGCCTTCATGCTCCATGAAATCGCTTCCTCAACTGCTCCTTCATGAACTCCCACATGTCTCAATCGCTTCGATTTTGATTCTGCGTGAATCTCACGTGGAACAAAGCTACAATGACGATGTTGCTTTGGGATAACAGTGGCGTTGGACTTAGCAGGCCACCCTTGGCCGAGCTCTTAACCACTACGATATCATTTTTAATCAAACGATATCGTTTATGACACCGTGATGTCGTTGATACCTCCTGCGACGTCGTTTAATCTTTCCGCGGCATCGCTTTTCACTAATCGATGCCGACCTTGAACTGCTTCGTCCTGGTCCCATCAAACAATGTCGTTTTTCATTCCGCAACATTGTTCTCTACCAAACGTTACCATTTTCTCGTCTTCGATGCCGTTGGGCTTGCCGGGCCGCCCTCGCCAAAATCCAACCCGTTGTGGTATAGTTTTTAACCAAACGGCATCGCTTACCAAGGCCTCTCGCGGTATCATTTTCTAATCCGCTGTGTCGTTGGGTTTATTTGCGATGTCGTTTTTAGCCAAACGACATCGTTTCCTAGTCTCACGATGCCGTTGAGCTTTGAGTTTCGCGACACCGTTTGATCCCTCCTCCGACAAGGACAAAATAAAAGCGCTTCCTTTTCCAACTCCAACAGCAGCATCGCGAACCCGAATAAATTCGTAGCCCTGGCTCGTGACATTTTTTCACTGAACAACGTCGTTCACAACACCTCGGTACCATCGAGCCTCTACGCGGTGTCGTTTCTCTCCTCTTCCGACAAGGAATGAACAAAAAGATTCCTTTTCCAATAACAACACCAACAGGCCGAGTGAATCCGACATTGTTTTTCCCTAAACAATGTCGTTTGTGTTGAATCTTACTCACGGTGTCGTTTTTTATCATGCGACATCGAATTAAATGCTGAGACTCATTATTACGGCATTGAATTTAGGCCAAAAATATTTTAGGTGTAAACAGGTAATAACCAAACCTATTAAGGCTAAATTTCATTAATCCTGGAATAAAATGTCTTAACCAAACCATCCAAATTAACACGAAAACCAAATTAACCAAACTAAAGTTTAATTGGTTTGGCTAATCGGATAATTGGATTAACCAAATAACATAACATTACAAAACAAACATAAAGTATCATTTTATATAAGCAATCATAATAAGACTAACCATCCATAATTATCATCATTATTGGAGTTAATACATCATTCATCATCTCTACACCTAATATAGGTAGCTTACAACAAACCCCTTAACATAAATACATACCAATAGCACTCATCAAGAAGTTAAAACTCTCCTACAAAACACTTAAACTATACATAGTTTGATGTGGTTGTCATTGTATTGTACGTAATCCTAAAGTCTAGTAGTTGTCCAAAATGTTTTGGTTTAGTAAATATAGGTGGACTCATTTAATTTTTTATCCATAATGTTTTGGTTTGTTGTGAACATGGAAATAAAATATGCGATCACGAAAGTTTGGTTTGGTTGGTTACATGGAAGTACAAATAATTTTGTATATTAGGTGTATCATTAATTGGTTAATTGGTTTCATTGGTTAGCAGTGTTAACCGAATGCTACTGGTTATATTTTCAAAAAGACCGGACTGGACCGGATCAATTTGGGCCAATTTAACCGGACCGGACCGTGTAGCCACCCTTAGTTACCACGGTAACCAATCCGTTTGAACACCCCAATTCTCATCACCATAAACCTCTGCAACCTAGCTTGTTGATTGAGCACAAGAACTAAGAATACCCCATGGGCATAATTATAAGGTCGATGCCTTTCACTTTCACCGTTTTCCTATGTTTAGGGTCCATGCCTCTTGCTTGTTTCAGACACTTGTTAGCTGCTTGCCATTATCCTACTTCTATTCCTGATGAAATGGCGATCGAATACTGTTCTTTCCACTGTTTGTATGAGAATCCCTTCGTCAAGAATGAAAGTCCTACTATGGTGATAGAGAAAAATCATGGACACCTTGTTCTCTTTGGTTCATAAACTGAAACTCAGGGCCGGCCAAGAGGGTGTGTTGGCCCGCCCTCCGGCCAGGGCCTCAGAATATTATGGGCCTCTATTTAGATTCGTTAGTTACCGATCGTATATTGTAGGTTGTATTTTTAGTGTATGATTAATTGATTATGAGTATGATGATGTGTTTAATAGATAATTTTAGCTATAATAACAATTGAAAAGGATCTCATGGAGAATGCGAAAATGTGAAAAATAATAGATAATTTTAATTTAAACAATATAGAAAGATATTACATTTTGAATAATGTTATTATAATCATTTTAGTTTTATTATAGTTAAAGGTCGATTTGGACCATGTCTAGATTTTGAAATAGGGCCTCCGCGATCTAGTAGACAACCCTGCACCCACCTCTCGATCAATTTAAACTATTTTCATTTCTCCATTCAACTTTTGCGATATATTCATTTTCTCTTCCTTCCGGATTTACTTTCCTCCCTACTAGGGCTGGGAATTCGGTCTTGGTTTCTTGGTCAAACTGGAAATGAGATCGTTTATTCCTGATGTAATCTTTTTCTGAACATAAGTATTTTTTACAATTATTTACTAATTTTTAATTTTGATAAATTTATGGAAAAAAAAAATTAGGACCACATTTTAAATTTTCGAATAGGACCTCCAAATATCATGGACGGCCCTGCTGAAACTCCTGTACTATGAAGCATAAATAAAGCACTCTGCCAGAACGAAGATGAACAAGAAGCTAGATTCCTCTGGCCTTCTCTTTACAGCATGTCTTTCTGATTTTGGGGGGAAGGTAAACAATGAAAAGTAGTAGGAAAAGGGAGGTATTTTAGAATACCTCTTTTGATTGGGCTCATGCATGCATCTATCTATCTATCTGTATATCCATCAATCCGTGTTCCAGATACAGACACGAGCCACCAAGTTGTGTGTTATTTGTTGATGATGAGGAAGAAGAAGAAGAAGGAGATACCAGTGCTCGAACCCACAACCAATCGATGAGATGTTTGGCTGCCTTGCCTCAGCGGCAGCCAGAGCACTGGTGGCCACACTGCCGCAACCTTCTACATTATACTACGGGTCCTTTTTTTGCCAATGGTCAAAGGGTTTAACCCGTGCTTGTGATACTTTTATACCGTAATGATGGTCCGATCAATAAAATCTTTTATTAAAATTCAAATTGATATAGAGATGAATTTTACAAATATGAAACAGTTGAAACCACAGTTTAAAAACAAAATATTGTGTTATTGACTTATTTGATATGGCTATGAAGAACGGAGATCAAGCCCAGTGCTCGTCTCCCAAAGTTGCTAATCGATTCTTACGATCGATGTATGTGAGAAGGATCTGATTGGAAAACCTGTGCCTATGTTTAGTGAGGCTAATTCTAAGGAATCGGAGAGAGTGTGATGATGAATTTAGATTCAGATTTAGCTTCGAAAATGTCCACAACCGATGGCTGAATCTACGTACTTGACTGGTATGAGATTGATTAGGATAAGTGGGAGCACTCGAATAAGCTAATTCTTGTGATCGTGAAACGCCTCAAATGTCTACATGGATGGACACTAATGACTTCACTAATGCGGCAAGCTTGATTACAATGAATTATAAGGGCAAGAATACTATTGGAGAATGCATCATGGAGATGTCTTTGTCTTACTTCCAAACTTAATATTTTGAATATCGATCGAGTTATTTGATGATACATCCAACTAGAAATATTATGAATTCTTTTGACGACGAGGATACGATTGTCAATGAAAATTTAAAGGTTGATAAATTATCGTAAAGTTATCAAATTAGTATATCCATATACCGATTGAATATGACCCATTTGCATACTTTACATGTATGATCGTTTTATAATACATGTTCAAGTATCGAGCACAAGACCGCTTCATGTCAAAGAAAACACAACAATAATCAAATTTACATACTTTAAACATAATGATCATTTAAGAATGTACATTTCATCATATCGAACACAAACCTTATCATGTAAAAACAAACACGCCAACAACACTAGCGTCACTTTCTGGGTGGCAATAGTCAACTTTTCTTTGTTAATGAACCTCAAAAACTGCTGCTAAAAATTATGAAATTATAACAAATCAAAGAAAATGGTCAATTTCTCTCCTTCGTGATTCCCACTTCCAACGTTGTGGTGTAACGCGTTGTTTTTGTTTCCGTTCTTTTGTTTGCTAATTTCTTTGTTGTACCTATTTTTTGGTCCCACCCCACCTTTCTCCAACGTGGATGGGCCTACTCTTTGTTTATATTTATATCCATAAGGTTCTTTTCAAATTGATTAAATATAATTTGATTCGTTTGAAAGATTAAGTGCGCCATTTTAATTGAAGGTCAATCAATTGATAAATTGCATATAATTGTAAGCGTACCAGATTTTTACATTCGTACAGTTAGCAGGAAACGAATTTCTAATACATGTTTTGTTAAACCTTATATTATTGGAATGTCCGTTGGATGCTTGCGTGAATTATCATCTGGGAAACGGTCTTAGTTGGCTTTTTCTTTAATTAATGAACAAGGTTTTGTAAATCATAATGAAAAATTAAAATAAATTATTCTAATGATTCAAGATAACATGGTAGTAGTACTAGTAGTAATAGAATTCTAACGGTGGCGGTGAAAGATATAATTGATACGTTAATGATTGAAAGAGATAGTTGATTGCAAAGTAAAACTCATTTGTCGTAACTGGATGGACAACGAACAATGATAAAAAAAAAATTGCATAACGATGCTTAAACAATTTATAGTAGTGCCAAGTATGAAACAAAATTGACACAATCGGTGGACAACAATGCCCTAAGCAACCCTCACACAGCTCTTAACATTAACCATTCAAACAATGATAATAATCATAATTCATCCATATACTGAACATAATAAAGAATTAGTATGGACATTGGTTAAGTACCAATGTGAGGATTAGCTTCTCTAAACCCTAATTAATATAGTCGCTCAAACAGCCCATACGGGGAAAAGCTCAATCGGAAGTTAACACCAGAAACCGGTGCTACAAATGGGACACATGTGGAGCCGCTCTCCAGCTGGGTTCCAATTCCAATCACAATAATCCATTCACCTACGAGAAAATAATAACAAAAGAGCAGCTTGCCAGCTCGAGTCGAAACCAAGCTGCTGCCGGCTGCGGCGCGCGGCGGGAAGTGTCCTTCCTTCTGTTCTTCTCTGTCTCGCTGGCTAATAATTAAATCCTTCCTTAAGTATTCTTGCCATTGTTGGTATTTGATTGTTTGGGTTTAGCCAGCCAGCCAGCAAACGCGTGCGCCGGCGCCGGCCTTCTTTTGGGTGTTTCCGGTGGACTTTATGTTTTTTTGGCAAATTCCGGTGGACCATATTGATACTAAATTAGCTGGCGATTTTCCAAATACATGATTACAAAATACCGAGTCCATGTTTGTCAAGAAGCTTTATCTCCATATGGAGGTTATGAATTCATTCCTCACATTCACATAGACATAGTAATGCGAGTTGTTGGATTGAGCTGACCGCACGAGAGAGTACACATAAATGGAAAAAATATAGCAATTGGTATCAATGCGGTTTGTTTGTGGTTTTGGACAATATCCTGGTCCCTAGCTACACATGAGGTTAGAACAGATTAAGAATCCTTATAGCTTTGGGGTAATAATTTAACATCATTTCCACGGTTGGAGTCGGGATTTGATGTTTGGGAGATAGAATTTTTTACTCGGCATCTGCAAAAAAGACGTAAAATTTAATCAAAATAATAAAAGGAAAATTATTTTTTAGTATTGTGATACTTATATTGTTTAAGATGATTAAAATCACTCAAAAATAATATGCAAACTAAAAAATGTTAACATGGCAGGTTCAATATAAATTAGAAAAAGAAATAAACAACATAATAATACATATCAATGTTGTGTAACAGGTCATGTTTTCATATTTTAAGAATGGATATCATATAACTCCTATTAATTGTGGCATAAATAAGTAAATTAATAATACATTTGAATGTTGTGTTACTCACTCTAGTTGTAGAATTAAAAATATGGGCCCTGAATAGTAATTCCTATGAGACGAATAAACCTATAACCCGATTGATTGATATGGAAAAAATAAAAAACTTTACTACGATGCGATAACAATCCATAAACTTTTACACCCAAGTTCTTTGTACTAATCAAACATGTTCTCTCTAAATTGGACATCTGCAATCAATGCACTAGGAGCATCAATGCACTAGGTAGCTTGGGCCACAAAACTCTCCACGAGCCTAGTTAATTTAGTCCCCACAAATCATACATCTAATTCTGCAAATTGCTCACCTTTTATAGCAAGATGCCACCCTTTCCCTTTACTGCATAAAACGCCTATGGAGTATGGACTATGCACAAGGAAATCAACTGTAATATATGCAGCAGACACTTTTCCTGAAGAACAAAAAGATGGTAAAAATTATTAGGTAAGAAGTAAGAACTTAACTAACTGGCACAAGTAGTTATTGCCAACCAAATTCAGGAGTGGAGGGGTCAATGAGCTGTTTTGTTACTATCTTTCGAAATTGAGAGCCCAGCCAATAAGGTACATCTCATGGTAGGCCCTTTTTCATTTGACAATTTAAGGTAATATCAGTTGCACTTTTCTAAAAAGTTGAAAAGCATCTGTAGAGTTGTTTATTTGTGTATAAAGTTAACAGTTGTATAAAAAGGTGAACAAACTTACTATTCATGGCCAGATGATGAATTAGTGGGTCGATGTATTTGTAGGAGGCTATCATGAAATCGTTTGGATTAGGAAATTTTAGTAGTATTTTGTCACAATATCTTATCATTCGATGTTTTTATAGAATAATTTGTTTGGGAAGGAGTGAAGTTGTGAGAAATAGTGTTTTCCAGCGAGGAAAAATTGGTGTTTGAATTAAATGATTGCACCTTGACTTCTTGAACAACGACAATCAACACGGTTCACACCTCTCCGAACAATGTTCGAACGAGGGTGTTTGATGTTTTTGATGGTTTTTTGGAATAATCTAAGTTACTCTACTCCTATGGAGGTTCAGTGAGAGCTCCGAAAACTAAAAGCTGATTTGCAGTGAAAAGATAAATTTTGACATTGTGCGTCAAATGTTTGGTTGTGGAACCCTTGCTTCTTCTTCGTTTCTTCTATTTATAGCCACTAGGAATAACTGCCTTGGTAACTGCTAGCCGGCTTGTTGCTCCAACCGCCTTAGGGACCCCTTTTCGTTGCCTTGGTTGCCAATTGGTAACCGTTGTCTTGGTCTTCACTTCCATTGCCTTGGAGCTCCTAGACCCGTCTTGTTGACTGGTTGGTATCCATCACCTTGGAGGCCCTTGTCCCGTCTTGGAGTTTGTGGGTACTTGATGGCCTCGATGCCGGGTCGGGTTGGTGTTGAGCCTTGTCGCCTGTCATAACTGGATGGGGTTGAAGCTCTTACCTTAGCCTCCGCTACCACCTCAATGACACCAAACCCTCCTCATGAACTTGTTGGTTGTTACCAAGCCGTCTCATCGGCTTGATACCCTCCGGCATGCCACCAAGCCAATGTAATCAACTTGACACTCCTTGCTACCAAGCCAACCCTGGTGGCTTGGTATCCATACTTAGTTTCTTGTCTTGTTGGCTTGATACCCTGATGTCTGGCTATCAAGTCCGTCTTGTTGGCTTGATACCCAGTCTTAGTTGGCGGCCAAATTTCCTACCAAGGGTGAAACGCATCGCCTGGCTATGGGGCCAAGGAGGCGAGTCGGCCATCATGTAGGGAAGAAGGGGCTTGGCCACTTAGGCCCAAAAATCCAACCCAACAAGGCCCAGCTTGCTCTTTTTAATTATTAATGTTGAGCTGGCCTTATAAATTCATTGAATTTCTTGTAGTTAATCGATGCGGTACAAGCTGATTTTTTTTTATGGGTAAACAAATGCCCCCAACTACTTAGTGCATAAGGATTATGGACTAAGTAGTTTACACGAACTATACCACATCGCTTCACACCTCGTCCACATCGGGCTCAAACCGCTCAGTCATGCGGTTAGGATTTGGCTTTATCAAAAGCCAAAAATCACAC